AAGCCAATTGGTTAGCGTCATAAAGATGATTGAGAAGATATGAAGTTGGTGGAACATGGATGGAAGGAAGCCACCCCATCAGAGGGGCGTCTTCAGTTGACAGAGGGCAGACTTGTGTTGTTTTGTGAGATGCATCTTCTTGCCACCTCAGGCCCCTAAGCATGACGCTGAGCACACAGAGAACAAAAGAGAGGAAATCTCTCCTGGCTGGGTTTTTGAGAAGGTTGCTGACAAAATATTCTTCAGATTTGAAATAGGTTGCTTCACGGCTCTTCGAAGACAGCTTTGTCCATTGAGTCTGTGCTCTTCTTCCCATAGCAAAGACATATGCAACATCAACTTCGCACATAAACGTATGGCTATGTGGCTGTTGGATATTTGTACTTCATAATATAAATGTACATTGACTTTTATATTTGTGAATTCATCTACGGGAGAATTAAAGAAAATCCAAGACTACTTAATGACCAATGTGGTCTTCTCTTCATTCTATAAAGATTGAAAATATGTTTTTATGTTATTTTACTTATTTGGAATTAATAGAACATACCTAAGCAATTAGGATACAACAAAATTAAACTTTATTACTTTTACAACATTTTGTTTCTTAAAACTTTTCATCTCTAAAAAAGATGAAAACAAATTCTTGATTGAATTACTTTTATATAATTCTGACTGGTGGTTTAGTTGATTCTGGGAGAATGACCATTCATGTCTACATAAGTATTAAATTGTAATCACAATTTAAAAAAACAAAAAAAGGAAACTGTGAGAGTGAACCCTCTTATCTTTTTCTAATCATTGGGAGAGACTATTGTCTTTTACCATTACATATTATTTGCGCTCTGGGTTTTAAATTATAAGCCCTTTATTTGATTAAGGAAGTGACCTTTTATTCCCTTATTTAATCACAACAAGTTGCTGCAGTTGCGTTTTTATATTGGTTTGTTCAAAATGGTTTAAGGTTTATTTATTTTTTTTTCATGATTGGTTGCTGAATTTTGTCATTTTTTGTATCTACTAAAACTATCATAGCTTTCGTCTTTTAGTTTATTGATAGGGTATACTGTATTAATTTTTGGATGTTAAACCAACTTTGTATACCTAGTATATATCCTACTTGTTTATGCTGTATAATTCTTTTATACATTGATGAATTTAATTTGCTGGTATTTTGCTGAGAATTTTTGTATCTATATAAGACATACTGGTCTGTAGTTTTCTTGTTATATCTTTGTCTGGTGTTGGTATCAAGGTAATACTGGATTCAGAAATAGTGAGAAGCATTTTCTCCTATTCATTTTTTTGGAAGCACTTGTGAGGACCTGCTATCAATTCTTCTTTAAATGTATGCCCTGTGAAGCCATATAGACCTTGGCTTTTCTTTGTGGGTAATTTTTTTATTACTAATTTACGATCTTTACCTGTTATAGGTCTGTTCATATTTTTATTTCTTCTTGAGTCAGCTTTGGTAGTTTGTCTGTTTCATCTACGTTATATTATTTGTTAATCGTAGGAGTCTCTTATAATCTTTTTTATTTCTGTAAATTCAGTAGTAATGTCTCCTCTTTCATTCCTGATTTTAGTAATTTGAGTCTTTTCACTTTTTTTTTCTTGGTCAGTTTAACAAAATGTTTGTTAATTTTGTTGATATTTTTAAAGACCCATTCTGTGGTTCTTTACTTACTGTGTTTATCCGTAGTGTGTTTATATTTATTGTTTTATTAATTTTCACTATAATCTAATTTTTTCTTTCTTTGGGTTTAGTTTGCTGCTTTTCTCTAATAAGGTGGAAGATTACATTACTGATGTGAGATCTTTGTTTTCATTTAATGAGGTGATTGTAGCTATGAAGTTCCCGTTGCGCACTGCTTTAGCTGCACACCCCCACGTCTTCTTGACATGATCTGCCCCTTGACATTCTGTCATCTTCTCTCCAGTTCCCCCAGTCCCCTTACTGCTCCTTTGTGATGCCCTTTACTGGCTGGTCCTTCCTGAAAACAGCCGGAGCCCTTTGCCCTGTCAGCGATGCTAGGGGTTTGACCTTGTGTTGTCTCACTAAATCCCATGGAAGCTCTGTGAAGGTGAGGTGTTACCGCCTGGCTGTGTGGCTCAGTGGTTGAGCATCGACCTATGAACAAGGGGGTTGTGGTTCGATTACTGGTCAGGGCACATGCCATGGTTGTGGGCTCGATCCCCAGTGGGGCAGGGAGTGGGGGGTGTGCAAGAGGCAGTCAATCCATGATTCTCTCTCATCATTGATATATTTTTTTAAAAGATTAATTTTTTTATATTTTAAGTTGGGGGTGACTCTCCCTTCTCTGAAATAAAAAATATACATATATTTAAAAAAAGATGAGGTGTTACTATCATCATCTTACAGGTCAGGCAACTCAAGTGCAGAAAGTTCAAGTAAATGACATGCCAAGTTCTCTTATGGGTCTGGGTCGGATTTGGCAGTGATCCTCTCCCCTCATGCTGCATGCCTTCTCCCTGGTTTCCATTGATTGCAGTGCTGTGTCCATGTGCACGGTTCTCCTGAATGCTGGCTCTATCCCTGCTCCCGTTCCGCTCCACGAGGTTCTTTCCTCGGTCGGCACGCAGGCCTCTCATCGCCTCACTCTCCGCCCCAGCGCTCTGCGAGGCCTTTCCTGAGGGCGCAGACAGGACAGGCGCCCCACCCGGTTCTTCGCCTGCCTTTGTTTGTGGCTTTACCACAGCACCTGCCCAGTGGGGTGTCCTGCCCCCTTCCTGTGCTTGTCTTCTAAGGCTGTGAGCTTCTGTCCGCTAAGCACCAGGCTTGCATATTGTGTGGAGGGCTTTTTCTTCTTTAATAGATGCTTGTGGAATGAGTGAGTCTGCGGTGGAAGAATATAGTTTGGGGAAAAACTGTTAGAGAGTTGAAGATGATCATGGAGTTATTGCCCCAGACCTCTCTCCTAAATTCAGTGAACTTTCACCTTTCACCTGCCTGTCTCCTGTGCACCATCCAGCTTCCTGCTCCCATGCCAACTGCTTGGGGGAGTTGGTCCTGCTGCCCCGGGCTGGGTAGGCCCCTTTAAACTTCTCCTTTGCAGCGCTGCTGTGATGTAATTTATTAAACCTTTGTGACATGGAATTTCCGGTGTCTGTCTGCTCCACGGGATCCCCGGTTCTCCAGGATCAGAGCCCTGGCTGAGGTCTGCCCCCTGACAGCAGTTTGCTGGCCCAGAGCCCGGCCTTTAGAGGAAGTTCAATAGATATTTCTTGGATTCATGAATTATAGTAGCTACAAATTCTTCTTCTTTGTGCTTCATCTTTGTGTTCTGTGTCTTGGTTGCCAGTTTAATAATGGAGACATTTTAGGTTGCCTGAGAAATAGTCATCAAACACAGAATGGCTGTGAGTTGCAGACCAAGAGGTTTTGGGACGCAGAGCTTGCTAAGCCACGCGCCCTTCCCGCTGCATGCGGCCCCTCCCTCTGGTGCAGAGCAGGGCCGCGTGGACACGGCTGCCCGTGCACAGAGCCCGTGCGGGGTCAGAGAGGTTTCACGCCAGAGCCCGCAGGCCACCGCGCTGTTACCAGCAGAGCGGCCGCCCGCAGCGCTGTGCTCTTGGCGTGCTGGCAGGGACCTTATGAACACTCCATAGGATCATCGAGCTCCTAAGCAGGCTCTCTCACAGGCTGTCTGTTCATGAACTTCTGACCTCTTTCTGCGTCCCCTTCGGCACTGATGCTTCTCCAGCTTCTTGGGAGGTTTGGGATTCCAAAGTGCGCGGAGAACCGCCCAGGTTTGAGCGGTTTGGAGGCCACAGCCGTTCCCTCCATGGGAATCGTGCCGAATATTCTGTTCTGGCCTCTGAAAATGACTTTGTCATTATTGGTCCTCAGTTACTCTAAGATCTGAAAAGTGAAAGCACAGTGGTGTCTGGAGGAAATGGCTGTCATGATTCCTATTAGTCTATAATTTGTAGACTTCAGCTACAACAAAACGTAGATGTTGCTTCATTTTCCACTTTTGTGTGTGTGTTTTATGACCTTTCTTATCAAAGAAGGGGCAGGATGAACTATTAGATAATCAGTATGGAGCTTGTGATGAAGACAACCCCGTTCTAGTCCATTGTAATGGCTGTTAATGGCAGTTTATACTTCTCTCTTGGTAATGCTCACCTCCTCTGATGCATAGACATAAAGCACCCGCACCTGTTTGCATTTTGATGAGTGAAAGGGCGCTCCAAGCTTTTTCGTTAACTGTCCACCTTGCTGCCGGCAGATGGCTTGCCAGCGGAGTGGTGCCCCCGGCACTGCGCCCGCGCCCTCCGTCTGCGCCCGCGCTGCTGCTGGCCGTCTGCAGGAGGGCCAGGTGCCGGCACGCTTTGCCTTGCATTTCAGCCTCACCTCTCACTGGCTCTGCCAGGCCGGGGCATGGCATTCCCAGACTCCTTCTGTGTTCCCGGTCTCTTCATTGTGACACCAGTTCTGAAAGGCAGTGAGGATTTCATGAGTTAATTCGGACAGTGAATAAATATGAATAGCCCTTCCTCCTCATTGTCCCCCTCCCCTGCTCGGAAAAAGTCACATGTTACGAGTAGAGTATTGGGTGTTTACAGAACTTCAGGTAAAGCGCGTGCTGTGACTGTGCACGTGCGTGTTGGGCGTGAAATGCCATCTCTCCGTGAGCTTTCCTTGGTCCGCCTCCCGGGCGGACTCGGCACCTTTCCCTGGTAGATGGTGCCCACGTGAGCAAAGCTGCTCACGTCACGGTCCAGTCAGAGGAGACAGGCTGCCCAGCTGGCCACCGGGTAGATCGTCTGCCTCTTTAGAAGGTGAGGATGGACTGTACATATTGGGTTAGAACTGAGGAATTTTTGAAATGAAATTTGAATGTTGGGAGAGCGAAGGCAAACTACCGCACTGCAGTCTCTTTTAAGCTGTCAGATATCAAAGGAGGGTAAAGCAATCCAAGTGACCCCTCTCAGGTACTTTCTCACTAATTCTCTCCACCTCTGGTCCCCTGTAGGTGCTTTCTGGCTGAGAGTTGGAGCCCGCAAGCAACATGCCAGAACAGAGCAACGACTACCGGGTGGCCGTGTTCGGAGCAGGTGGCGTCGGCAAGAGCTCCCTGGTCCTGAGGTTTGTGAAGGGCACGTTCCGGGAGAGCTACATCCCCACCGTGGAGGACACCTACCGGCAGGTCATCAGCTGCGACAAGAGCATCTGCACGCTGCAGATCACGGACACCACCGGCAGCCACCAGTTCCCTGCCATGCAGCGGCTGTCCATCTCCAAGGGACACGCCTTCATCCTGGTGTACTCCATCACCAGCCGGCAGTCCCTGGAGGAGCTCAAGCCCATCTACGAACAAATCTGCGAGATCAAAGGGGACGTGGAGAGCATCCCCATCATGCTGGTGGGGAACAAGTGTGACGAGAGCCCGAGCCGCGAGGTGGAGAGCAGCGAGGCGGAGGCGCTGGCCCGCCGGTGGAAGTGCGCCTTCATGGAGACCTCGGCCAAGCTCAACCACAACGTGAAGGAGCTCTTCCAGGAGCTGCTCAACCTGGAGAAGCGCAGGACCGTGAGCCTCCAGATCGACGGGAAGAAGAGCAAGCAGCAGAAGAGGAAAGAGAAGCTCAAGGGCAAGTGCGTGGTCATGTGAATGCCCTCCCGTGTCCCCTGCCACCTCACCTTCCCTCTTCCCCATGAAACCCGCCGCCGTCAGGGCAGCATGTAAGATGCCCACATGTTAACTATCGCATTTTGACTGAGACGTGCCCTATTGTCCTTAAGAGGGCATTCCACACACCAACAATAAGCCCCTCTCCGGAACCAGGGAATCGGCCAGACGGTTCAACGAAAACCCGTGTGCCCGGCGTGGCAGGGGGCTGAGAGCGCCCACAGCCTCTGTGGCCTCGTGTGTGTGTGCCGCCAGGAGTGGAGCGAGGAAGGGAGGGACTGCCCCTGCATGTGTGTCCAAGCATGTTCACCTGGGTCTGCGGGTCCACCACAGACCAGCCTTTCCTCTGCTCAGCAGCCGGTGCTGTCCTGGGGGAGGGGGCGGGAGAGGAGGGGAGAAGCCAGGCCAAAGTTGCTTTCTTCATGGTTCTTTAACTGGACTGAAACCACACGCCTCCCCCAGATGCTCACGCCCCGCTGACCTGTGAGCCCCGAGGGGTGCCCCCACTCCCTGGGCCGCGGGGGAGGCTCCGGTTCAGCCTTCCAGAGGATTTCTGTTCCCGTGCAGTGCGGGCCCAGGATGCCTGCCCGGGAGAGCGCTGTGGGGTTTGAGCGCGGACACCGCGACGTACGAACCCCACGGCACTGCCACCCTCAGAGGGTTTCACATGCGAAGTTTCCTTCCTTTAACCCAGGAGGGGGGCACCCCTGCCAGCCTCAGAGTTTAAACACAAGCGACTCACTTCGCTGTGGTAGGCGTCCTGTCCGCCCGTGGCTGTCCCTGTAGGTGACGGCCGGGGAGGCCAGCGCACATTGCTTTCTAGGTGGCCCGTCGGGAGTGCACACCTCGCCCCTCACGGACGTACTTGGGACGGAGTGGTCACTGTTTCGATGCCCCTCAATACACTGCATTCCTGGAAAACGCCTCCAAGTAGCACACGTCTCCCGGGTCCCATCAGAAACGCCTCCTCAGAGGAGTGCAGGCAGGGCCCCCTCTTTCTCCTCATGATCTGCGTGCGCCCTAGTCCTTCAGCCCGATCGTGGCGATGCTGGCCCCTGCCCTGCGGGCGCACGGGGCGGGCGGTGGGGCCGAGGCTGCCGTCCGAGTCCCGTTTGGCTCTGCTTCCTGAAAAGTCCCACTGACAGAGCCCAGTGCTCCCTTTTGCTCCCATCAGCATAGCCCAGCCCCTGACTCGGAGTCTCCTCTCAGCAGTCCTCCCGCCGCCCGCCTGGCAGCAGACGTGGCCCCGGCAGCCTGCTGTGGGCAGCAGCGGGCAGAGGTGTCCCGTGTGGGGCGACCGCACCCTCTGGCTCCTCTCCCTGCACCTGCCCCCGGAGCAGGCCTACCTGCAGCACTGGCGCCCCCCTCCTGCTCTCACCGGACCCTAAGTCAGCCTTCCTGGGGGATTTCCTCCTGTGGTCTCACCCCCTGTTCTAATGACTCCCCTCCCCCCACATCCCCCCCAGCCCCGGGGACGGGTCAGTGAGTGTGAGGTGCTCTGAGAACCCATGGCGCTGGCCTCCCACCTGAGCAGGGAGGGTGTGGGAGGGCCTGGGCGGCAGCGGGGCCCAGAGCCAGCCAGGCCTCTTCTGTCCTCAGGGACGCCCTCCTGCGGGCTGTCCGGCTCTGGGGCTGTCCCACCGCCGTCACAGGGAGAGCTACTTGGTGGGTTTTAGGACAGTTGTCTTGCAACCTGTGTCTACCTGTTTTCTGTTCTATTCTCAGAGAAATGCTATCCATTTTTAATGTGGCTCTGGGTCAGGTGGCCAAAGAAGCAGCACTTCCTGGCCAGAAGGGGCCTCGAGGCCTGGGTGGGCTCTGTGCTGGCAAGAGCTGGTGTCGCCACGGGCCTGTCCCAGCTTCCCGGGTGAGCGCCGCGTCAGCCGTCCTCTCCTGCTGACCGTGAGCTTGCCGTTGCCTCCCGGGCCGGCCGTGGGTTTGGGTGTTCAGGCTCCATCTCTGTGGGGGACACACGCTGGTTGGGAGCTTGCCGTTGCCTCCCAGGCCGGCCGTGGGTTTAGGTGACTGGGAGCTTGCCGTTGCCTCCCAGGCCGGCCGTGGGTTTAGGTGACCGGGAGCTTGCCGTTGCCTCCCGGGCCGGCCGTGGGTTTGTGTGTTCAGGCTCCATCTCTGTGAGGGGCACATGCTGGTTGGAAACCTGGTCTTGTTCCCAGGAAGCCAGCGGGGCCTCAGCCGTGGTCTGTGCTCCGAGGTCCCTGCGGGCGCAGGAAACTGACAGGATCGCTGCTGCGGCAACCGGCCTCTCAGGGCCCCGTGACTCAGGCTGAGGAGTCACCTCCGTGGGGCCAGGCGGTGTCAGCAACGACGGGGCGGTGGGTTCCGGAGGGTGCGGCCTCCATTGCACACGGGCAGGAGTGTAGGCCAGACAGTGAGCCAACAGCCCCGAATGGCACTCGGCTGCGCTCTGGAACTAAGCGTGGGCTCCATGCGTTCCCTCTGTCCCGCCGGCCTCCCTCCATCCAGTGCCAAGCCATGGGCGTGCCCTGGGCATGCATGCAATACAGCAAGACCAACCAGAGCAATATTGAATTGTTCATCAGATCAAAATTATATATATATATTAACACATATACTTTATCTTCCTGCATTTTTGAAATATAAAGTAGTGCATTGTACATACCCATAAGCTAGTATATTTGTTTCACGGTTTGTAATGTTTCAGAATTGCTCATTCTTTGTAGAACAAACAATATATTAAATATTTTAAAAGTTGCTTTGTGATAATTTTTTTCAAAATTTGTAATGTGTGGCTTTTACATAAGCTATCTGGAAATACCCACAACTCACGGGACACGTAGGCTCTCGAAGCTCCACCCGGGAACGCAGTGCCCACAAAGCACTGTGGGCAGAGCACTTGTAGAGCATGACTTTTATACCTGGGGGATGTCTATGTGTTTATTTATATTTAAGGTGTATTTATTGTTCCAGTTCCATTATCCGTCATATTTTAATTACTCTTCAATTATAAAAATCACCCTTGCATTCAGATTTCCAGCTGCCAGTGATGTTCTGAAAATAATGAAACATTAAAATAAAGCTTTCGTTCTGACACCCTGCTGGGAGACAGTGGTTTCTTATTCTTCAGGGCGCAGCCTGTCTTTGGTGGCCATGACCTCGTTCCCGCAGCTGCTCCACTGTGACTGGACCACAGAAAAGACCGCCTGGCTCTGTGTGAGCCTGGGGTGGCCACCGCAGCGGCCCTGCACTGTTCCCGGGCGGTCCCGCCGGCCCTGCCACGGCTGACAGGATGCTCCACCCTGGCTCATAGCAGGAGTGCCCGCCTCCCCGCCAGGGCCAGACTCTCCAGGGGGCCGGACCCAGCACTGGGCTCCGGTCTGCTGGACGCCCTTGGTCCTTGCCCCCTTTTCTCAAGGCTAACACAGCAAAGCAAGTCAACAATTATAAGCAAAGCAAAATCATTCCCGGGCCATTGAGTAGCTAGGTGACTGTGGGCAGGACCCGAACCTCACTGTACTGCAAATGAGGATTGTTAACCTCTGCTGGTGGTCAGCCCTGGGCAGTACATTAACTCATTGTATGCCATAAGCATCTATAGACGCTTGTGGGGGTGGCTTCCATTTTGGACGAGTGGCAGTTACCTGGTTATAAGCGCAAAGCACTCGGAGCTGTCCCGTGGAGCGGGCAGTGCGGAGTCAACCTGTGCAGCTGCAGCGCCAGCCAGACACACTCCAGCCAGGCTCTGTGAGCTTCTTGAACAGCTGCAGCGCCAGCCAGACACACTCCGGGCTCTGTGAGCTTCTTGAACAGCTCCCAGCCTTGCTCTCAGCAGCTCCCTGCCCCAGGCCATTACTGCGCCAGGACTGCTTCTCCATTTAGCAGATCGTTTCAATCGCCAGCCCATTAGGTCCCATTAGAGGACATCCTGCCGGTGCTCATCAAGCTTTAATGTGCAAACAAAGCACTTGAGGACCTTGTGCTTCAGCAGAGCCTGAGTCAGGCCTGGCGGGGCTGGAAGCCTGCATTCCTAGTGGCTCCCAGGAGGTGCTAATCCGATGGTCCACAGACCCCCCCTTGAGTAGCAAGGCTGCAACCTAGTACACCAACTGCTGCCCATGGAAACGCCTGGTGGAGCCTCAGAACCTATGGCTATCCAGGCTCCACCCAGAAATCATGACTCAGCAGGCCTGGAATGTACGTGGCTTTGGCTTCGGGGTATTTTCTGGTTCCTGGTGATGAAATGTGGAATAAACTTTGAGTACAGATGCTGTTAGCCAAGTTTAATATGGAATGCCAGCCAGCTCCTGGGAGGTTGTTTATTAAATGGGGTTCCCCTTTAATAAATGTTTCCCAGGCAGCAAATTGGTGGAATTGGTGTGAGGGGTCCCAGGCCCCTCTATGTATAGCATCTTCCAATATCGGTGTGCAGAGAAAAGTATGGCAGAGCTGCTGTCACCACACCACTCCAAGTGTGGGGTGACTTCACTGGTCTTAGGCCTAAGCCCCAAACTGTCTGGAATGTTCCATCCTTATGTGGCCCAATTCCAGCATGGCCCATGCACCATCCTGGGCTCTGCAGACTTGCTGTTGCTCTGGGTTCCGTGAATGAGGGTCAGCTGTGACCTGGGCAGCTGCTCTGGCCTGCCACCATCCTGCTTCAGACAGGGCAGGACCACACCTGCCTTCCTATTTTCACAGCATGGAATTGCTCTCAGTCACTTTCCCGTTCCATTAGTTCCATTACCGTTTCTTAGCTAAAGGAGGCCTCTGCCCTCCCCAGTCTTTCACAAGTTATTGGTGACCCAGAGAGGCAGACATCTGCCTCAGGTATTTTAATATAACTTCTACAGTGATAAGGATAATAGTTATCAATATTGCTGTTTTATTGGTTTGCTCTTATAATTCCTCACACTCCCTTTGCCTCAAGCAAATGGAGGGGTTTAGCCTGAGGGCAGGAACACAAGGAAACCACCAGTTTTCACTGAACTTCTATCAGGTGGGAGATCTGGGGGTCTTGAACATCTGCAGAGCTAGGGCCAGTCATGATGAATGTGGGGTCAGCCTTCTGCAGGCTTTTTATTAGGGACAACAAAAGGATGTGCAGCAGGTAGGAAAGGTTATTGCCCTTGGGTCAAAGTCAGGCTTATATTCTTTGCTATCTACCCCATAACAAGGGCACATTGACTTTCAAGGAGTCCCTCTTGAAAGTACCAAGGACCAAGTGCTCGTCAGCACTAAGCACACATGTGTGCGCACGCATGAAGTACCCATCGGACACCACACAGGACCTGTGACAGCCCATGTGACAGCCACCGGTTAGTATCAGGAACTCAGGAGGACAAGGACATGGCCTTGGTTTAAGTTGTCATTGTCACTGTAACACTGGCATCATACAGGACCTCTGGCCAAGATGGTGGCATAGGTCAACATGGTGTTGCCTCCTCCCACAACCACATCAAAATCACAGCTTAACTACAAAACAACTATCGTTAAGGACCACCTGAAATCTGGCTGAATGGAAGTCCTACAACTAAAAAATTAAAGAAGAAGCACATCGAGACTAGTAGGAGGGATGGAGGGGTGGAATGGGCTAGTCCCTCACCCACATGTGGCAGATAGAAATCAAGAGGGATACCTCAGCTGCGGAACTCCCTTCTGAGGAGTGAAGGGGTCCCAGACCCACACCAGGCACCTTAGCCCAGGGTTCCAGTGCCAGGAAGAGAAGTCCCTGTAACTTTGGGCTGTAAAAACCAGTGGGAATTGTGGCTGAGTCCCAGGCAGTTCCTCTTACAGGGTCCGCACATGGACTTACTCAGAGTCACTCCCTCTGAGTGCCAGCGTGGGACAACAGCTTGAAAGGTGGGGAGACATATGGGGAGAAACTGAATTGTTCGGCATCAGGGAAAGAGCTGGAGAGGCAGCTTTCTCCGAGACATAAGTGCTGGCAGAGGCCACTGTCCCTTTGATGGCTGCTTCCCGCCACACAGCCAGCAGACAGGAGCCGTACTTGGGATTTGAGATTTCATCAACTTGATTCACACTGTTTGCCCCACCTTGGTGATTCCCTGAGACCGCCCCCTCCAACTTTTGGGCCTATCAAGCTGCTTCCTGTGGCTTTACCATGGGAATAGCCTTTTTGGCTCATGCTTCAGATTTTCCTAACAGCTCTCAATCAAGCAGCATATGGCCCCAGTGAGCCCTGTACCTCTCACTCAGTGGCTTTAGGCCCAGCATTAGCAGCATCTTACCTTGGTTCACAGCTTGGCCTTACCTGGGCACCTCCAAGCCCAGCACAAGAAACAGCTATCTGCAGATTGCTTTGTAGCTTATTCCAGGTTGTCCCCAGTAGAACAAAAGTGGTAGCTGATATTGGCCTGCACCTCCCAGGAGGTCTCAGAGCCAGACCACATCTAAGCAACACACTCAAGGGGTGGACTCAGCACCAGAGCCCTGCTGAAGTAAGTCCTGCTCTGTGCTGTGGGTCCCTACATATCTAATCCTCCAAGATGATTGGAGATAGGTGGTCAGTGGTCACAGCCGTCCTTATAGCTGATTGGCCTGGGTAAATCCCTCCCATTGATGTGCTAATAGCAATCAAGACACAACTACAATAGGAGGTTATGCAACCCACACGGGGGGGGGGGGGGGCGGGGGGGGTGCACACCTCAAGTGCCCAGTAGAAGTGATCAGGGAGACTGTGCCACTGTGCCCTACAAGGAAACCTATTACATTAGGCCATGCTACCAAGCCTGGGAGACATAACAGCTCTACATGACACACAGAAACAAGCACAGGGAGGTGGCCAAAATGAGGAGACAAAGAAACAAGGCCCAAATGAAACAATACAACAAAACTCCAGAAAAAGAACTAAGCAAAATGGAACTAAGCAATCTACTAGATGCAGTATTCAAAACACTGCTTATAAGGGTGATCAAGGAACCTAGTGAGGACCTCAACAGCATAAAAATAACCAGTTAGAAATGAAGGCTACGCTAATGGAAATAAAGAATAATTTACAGGGGATCAACAGTAGAGTAGATGAAGCTGAAAATCAAATTAGTGATTTGGAATGTAAGGAAACAAAACAAAACAACAACAAAAAGCCAGCCAATCAGAATACCAAAAAGTAATAGGAACTTGAAAAGATAGTGTAAGGAGCCTCTGGGACAACTTCAAGTGTACCAACATTCGCATCATGGGGGTACGAGAAGGAGAAGAGAGAGCAAGAAATTGAAAACCCATTTGAAAAAATGACAGAAAAAACTTACTTAGCCTGGTGAAGGACATTGACATGTAAGTCCAGGAAGTATAGAGAGCCCCAACAAGAAGAACCCACAGAGACACACACTAAGACACATTATAATTAAAATGCAAATGATTAAAGGCAAAGAGAGAATCTTAAAAGCAGCAAGGGAAAAGTAGTTAGTAACCTACAAGGGAGCTCCCCTATGACTGTCAGCTGATTTCTCAGCAGAAACTTTGCAGGCCAGAACGGAGTGGCAAGAAATATTCAAAGTGATGAAAAGCAAGAACCTACAACCAAGATTACTCTACCCAGCAAAACTATCATTTAGAACTGAAGGACAGATAAAGAGCTTCCCAGACAAGGAAAAGCTAAAGGAGTTCATCACCACCAAACCAGTATTATATGAAATATTAAAGGGTCTTCTTTAAGAAGAAAAGGAGATATAGATTATGAACAATAAAATGGCAATAAATACATATTTATCAATAATTGAATCAACAAACAAAATGAACAAGCAGAACAGAAATAGACTCATAGATACAGAGAACTTTTTGTTGGTTACCAGGTGGGCAGGGGTTTGGGGGTTGACAAAAAAGGTGAAGGGATTAAGAATCACAAACTAGTTGTTACAGAACAGTCATGGGGAGGTAAAGTACAGCATGGGGAATACAGTCAATAATATCTTAATAACTATGTGTGGTGCTGGATGGGTGTGAGATTTATTGGGATAATCACATATTAAGTTACGTAATGTCTGGCCACTGGGGTGTACAGAAAATAAAAAATAAGTAGTAATAATAATAAACTGGCACTATGCAGCTATAAAGCTGGTATGTTGAAAGCCACG